ATAATTCAACGAGTAAATATACTTGACACATTACTTGGCAAGTAAGTATTTCGAATTGAGTTACTTCAATCCATCGTTTTTGAATACAAATAAACAAACGTTTCAATGTAATTAACTCGAGTTACGACTTGGACAATTTGTTAAATAATTACTGCTGTAATTATTTTTTTTTTGAAATTTTCTCATTTAATTTTGAAGAATGTTGATTAATTATATAATTGTTTAGGTAATTTGTTGATTTCTACAGTAAATGTGTTTTTTTAAATTCTTGATTACGATTTTATCAAAACTATTTTCATATTAAATCATATCAAAAATTGATCATTTCTTTAAAAAAAAAACAAACTTGAAAAGTAGTAATTTACTCAAATTCCTTAAACAAAAACATATTGTATTATAGATAAAATATTCTAAATATGAACTTTAGTTGATTCTACTAAATGTTAATTTAATTATTTGAAATTATGAAAATTTTTGTTCTTGATACAAAATTTTCTCGAAAAAAGAGACAAATACAAATTTTGTAAATTATCTAATAGTCAAATTTAATAATTTTGCCTTAAATTAATCATTTTTTTGAAAAATTGTTGTAATTTTCTGGAATTAATTGAAGAATCATGAATACTTTGAACGATGTTAATCTACAAAATCTAAATTTGAACACAAATTACGTAATGTGTATATACGCAAGTAACTTGTCAAGTAAAGCAAGTAATGAGACAAGTTATTAGTACTTGCATATTTGGCAAGTGTTTATATGAATCTAAAAATAATTCAATAAGTAAATATACTTGACACATTACTTGGCAAGTAAGTATTTCGAATTGAGTTACTTCAATCCATCGTTTTTGAATACAAATAAACAAACGTTTCAATGTAATTAACTCGAGTTACGACTTGGACAATTTGTTAAATAATTACTGCTGTAATTATTTTTTTTTTAAATTTTCTCATTTAATTTTGAAGAATGTTGATTAATTATATAATTGTTTAGGTAATTTGTTGATTTCTACAGTAAATGTGTTTTTTAAATTCTTGATTACGATTTTATCAAAACTATTTTCATATTAAATCGTATCAAAAATTGATCATTTCTTAAAAAAAAAACAAACTTGAAAAGTAGTTCTAAAAACTTACTCAAATTCCTTAAACAAAAACGTATTGTATTATAGATAAAACATTCTAAATATGAACTTTAGTTGATTCTACTAAATTTACTTTAATTATTTGAAATTATGAAAATTTTCGTTCTTGATACAAATACAAATTTTGTAAATTATCTATAGTCAAATTTAATAGTTTTGCCTTAAATTAATCGTTTTTTTGAAAAATTGTTGTAATTAATTGAAAAATCATGAATACTTTGAACGATGTTAATCTATAAAATGTAAATTCTGTGGTAGTGGACAGCTTCAAATGTCCGGAGGAAACGACCACCACAATTGTGGAGAAGGTGTCCATCCCGGATAAACCAAAACTCCTGAAGGTGACGGTCACCTGCAAGGATTTAAGCGGTGAGTGAGGATAATACAGATTTATTTATCGATGATTGACGATTGATTCAATCGATTCGCAGGTAAACAAATTGAAACGCACGAGTCCGAAGAGGAGAACAAGTTCGGCGACAACGTGCAGGTGCAGAGCATCTCGTACAAATCTTCGTATTACTCGAGAGGAAACGGACATGGGATCAGGATAAACGTGGGAAACGTCGACAACAAGAAGGACGTCGAAGTTTTGGATGCTTTTGTTGGAGAAACGTTCGAATAATAAAGATTTTTTTTTTGTTTTTATACTTTGTTGCCCACTTTGATCGTTTCGAAATGCATGCACATGTGCATGTATTAGTTTATTCCATTTTAATTAGTTTGCTCGAAGCGTCGGATGATGATGATGGCCACTTGAAAATTCAATATTGATATAGGATGGTCGGATGAGTTTCAAAAGAATTACGCAGCCAATTTCGATATTTGCTAAGTACATCTGACGCCACAGCAGCAGCAGCATTCATCCCCCTTCCTTTTGTACACTACTCTTCCTCCTCTTTTGCATCCCCTAAAAAGCAGTTATTGCATTCTTTCTCTTCAACAGCTCTTTTTCTCTTATATTTATCATTTCTCTTTAACCTGATCCTTTTTTCTTCTTAAACAAACAATCATCACTTCTCCAATATCAATTTCTAACAGATAGGCAACAAGTTGCGTAAAGCACGCTTTTAAAGCGGAAGTAAAAGGAGCGGAAGTTAATACCTGGTTAATTTGCCGGTTTATGAATGAATAATACGATTAGTTTCCAGTTTGTCGGTTCCATTAATCCGGCCGCCCCCGGAAAACATTCGGGTGGTTTTGTTTGCTAATTAGGACGCGAAGAAGACTGTTCCAACCCTTTCCTTCTCATTCTACTTCTTCCCTTTTGCCAAAAAGACGTTGACTGATGACCCCGAGCGATCTCATCCATCCCAACAATTAAGCCGCAGTTAAGACTCTTGCACAAATTACTCTTCTGCTGCTTTGATACAATCATTCAACTGTTGTCATCTTGTTATCAACACTTGTAGACTGTATAGAATATAGTTTACTTTTACAAAATAATCTGATTCATCCATTTCAATTTTTGTAACTTATTGATTTCAAAAGAAATATTCTATTACATATTACAAAAATATTCAATTTCCTATTATAAATCTATCAGAAAATCGCTAATTTTTAAATAGATCATCCAATAAGTCAACAAAATCGAAATCAAATTTGAGTTTAAATGGACGTAACTTTAACTTAAAACAATATAAAAGATTTCTACTGTCTTCTGTTTTATAAAAAAAAACAATTTTTTTAAAGGTGTTACAAAAAAAATTTGGTTTTCAATAGTTCAATAGAAAACTATAATATATTACATATTACAAAAATATTCAATTTCTTATTATAAATCTATCAGAAAATCGCTAATTTTTAAATAGATCATCCAATAAGTCAGCAAATTCGAAATCAAATTTGAGCATAATTTTACGTAACTTTAACTTAAAACAATATAAAATATTTCTACTGTATTCTGTTTTATAAAAGAAACAATTTCTTTAAAGAAGTTACAAAAAAAATTTGGTTTTCAATAGTTCAATAGAAA